TAGACTCACGGCTGCGTTGGAGGCGCCCTGGGAGCTGGTGCTGGCAGAGGCAGAGCTTTCCGAGGACAGCTGCCGCGCGACGGGGCTGTGGGGCGTGGGGGTCGCAGCCGCCGCCAAGTAGCTGGGGCCACCGATGTCTGCGTGATGCTTCAACACTGCCCGAGGAGGGGAGGAGAAAACAAGAGAGCCACGTTAGCAACAAGGGACCGAAAGGGCCAGCGTGAGGACCACTCTGCGTGAAAGAGAAGCGTCTTCTGCCTGCGGCCACCGCCAGCTCGCGAGGCCCTGCGGGGAGAAGGGGTTAGAGCACACGAGGCACCGCTGCGGGGACAGAGCCCAGGAGCAGCCCCTGCTCCACGGCTGCGGGAGGAGAGAGGCTGGATGTGCAGCAAAGCCCAAGCTCCCCCCGAGAGACCTGGCCGTGGGAGCCTACCTTCACTCCTCTCTGATGAGCAGTCTCGCACGCGCTTTTTGTCACAGGCAGGAGGCTGGACAAGGGAGCGCTCTGGCGCTCTCTCGGCCTTGGACACGGCCGTAAAATCGTCTAAGGGCGGCCTGTGTGCCTTGTCTGGTTGGATTTTTTGATGGGAGCGCTCTGAGGAGGGGAACAGAGAAAGAGCTATGAAACGCCTGTTTTCACCTCTCTTTCTGTTGGCGCAGGAGACTCGGGCAGGATTTCCCAGCTCCATCTGTCCAGGCAGGTCGGGCTCAACACCATCGCAGCGCTGGACAGATGCAGGCAGAGCAGAACGAGCTGCTGCACTGCCCGGGCTAGGAGAACAGGACAAGCTCACACTGAGCAGGACGAGGTCCCTATGAATCCCTGGGCTTCACAACCTGCACACATTTCACTTTCAGCCTTGTGATACCACAGCCTCTCATCCTCTCTCCTCCAGACTGCCCTGCTTTAGGGTGCAAAACTAGTCAATGTTTCTATACATGAGGTAGAAAAGTGACTTACTGGCTGCAGTGAAGAATGAGTTCACCAGCTTGTGGCGGTCCTTGCGAGCAGGGTCAGACAGGCTGCTGGTCGGCATGGGGGCTCTGTGCTTGAGCGAGAGCTTTTTGGGAGCTTTAATTTTCTCATAGGGTTTGTTCTGCCACTGAGATTTCAACATGCTCTGGAAGTGCAGGCTTGTCGGCACATCTGCAGAAGGACAGGGAACACGATGCTCAAATTCACCGCGTTTGCACCAGAAAACAGTGGTGCCACAATCACCTCCCCGTCCCCAGGAAGGGCAGCCCTCAGCAAACGAGGAGACAAGTCCCCCTGAAAGCCAGGCCCGCCATCCTCCCGCTGAGGGATCCCTGCAGCTCCAGACTCAGCTCTTGGGCTCCACAAGTGAAGGAGCAGAGCGACATCCTCACCCAGACCCCGTCCTTGGGCACCTTCCCCTTGTCACACGCTCCAGCGGTGCCTGCTCCTATTTATCCCTCCTCCTCGAGCTCCTCAAGGATAGCACACGTGTGCTGTTCTCCTGGGATATTCAGACACTGCTTTGGCCCTCGCTCCTCTAGCTCCAGTTCCCCCAAGCTCCGTCCTCCTCTGCCCTCAACGGAAAGCTGGAACGTTCATGAGATTATTCCGTGTTTTTTCTGGAGCGGATAGGCTAAGCTATAGGGTAAGCTATGACAACCATGAAGTGCACCAGCAAACTACTGCAGCCTCAGCAGTCCCACAAAGCTTTCCTTTTGCACTCAGAGCCTTAAACTTCAGGTTTGACCATCAAATACTGTTGCTGAAGTCTCCTCCAGGACCTGTGTTATGCCTCTGGGGGCCAAATCCTAGCTCACAAATCAAAATAAAACAAAATAAAAATAGAAATAAATAAAATAAAATAAAATAAACCTCAGGGTTAACAAGAGAGCTGCTGAGACAAGTTTCTCTTGACCCCCAAGACCACCACGCAGCAGCACGTGCTGGGAGACGCCCCATGCAGCGGCCGGCAGGGAGCCTCCCGCGAGCTCCAGCTGCCACCCCGAGTAAAGCAGTGGGAAGAACCACCCCAATACGGCCAGGGAGATCCCAGGACGTTTCCACAAGGCTTTGATGCCACTCTGCTCCGAGAGGAACCTTCCCAGGCCCTGCTTGGGCACAAGGTGCCCTCAAAGCCCTGCGCTTGCAGGGGGAACATCAAGGCAAACTGCTGTGGGATTTACAAACTGTATCTAGATAATCTCAGAGAGCAACCTGAAAAGTTTCTGAGCCCTATCGGGAGTCTCAGCTGCGCATATTTGAACACCTTCAAAATTCCCCACCAAATCCAGGGACTGGAAAGGCCCAGCAGAGCCGGGACAGGCAGAGGGCAGCGACTGCTGCCGAGCAGAGCCTGGAAGCTGCTGCTGTCACCGGGGGGAGCTTCAAGCGCAGGGAGAAGCCGAGAGCTGCGGCGAGAGCGTGTCCACGGGTCGTGTCCGGGTTCGCCCGGGGCCGGGGAGCTCTGCAGGCCCCGCTCCTGCTCCGCTGGGTGCAGCCGGCTCCTTTGGCTGCGGGACGGGGACGCTGCGGTGCTCCCACCTTCCGAACGCTGCCTCAACGCTTGGCTAAGCTTGGCCTTCTGCAGAAAGCCACCCCCTCCACAGCAGCCCACACGTCTGCCGAAGACAGAAAGAACGCAAGACAATCCGTGTTCGGAGAACATCCTCTGCTGCTTCCTTCCCTGCCCTATCAGCACTGCTCGCAGCAGAGGCTGGCAAGGAAGCGACACCAGCCTCCTCCTCTTCCTCCTCCTCCTCCTCCTCCTCCTCCCCGGGCGCTGCGGGGCTCCCGGGGACCGGCAGGTGGCAGCCGCACGGAGCCCCGGTCCCCATCCTGCCCTCACGGTTATTACATCAGCTGCAACCGCCCGGCTGGAAACGAGACGCAAACGGAACGGCCGGCAACAAAGCGCTGAATGCAGCGCAGCGGCAGCGGGGTGGAGGCCGCGGCGCGCGGGCCCGCTCGCCGGGGGAAGAAACCATCTCCTGCTTCCTGCGGCACCTGGCAATCCTGCCCTCGGCACAGGGCACCGAGAGCCCCGGCTCCCGGGCTCGAAGCTCCAATCAGCACATGCTCACGGCTCAGCTCCATCCACGCTCCTCCAGGAAGCCCCAGCTGGACCTCTGCCCACCACCCCAGCCGATCTGCATCGTTTTGGGGCCTTCAAAGGTGGCTTCAAAACCCTGCTTCTTCATCTCATGCAGATCCTTGAAGACATTCACTGGCTGCAGCTGACCTAAGGACGGGGCATCTCGAGGGCTGGATGAGGTTCTCTGCCTGCTGGCCATGACTAACTGCACATGTAACGGGTTTCTTCGCTGCTTCCTGCAATATTAATTTAACACTGCTGACAGAAGATGATAATCGCTGTGAAACCAGGAAATGACACACTGAGGTCCTGAAGAAGAAATTTCAGCTCCTTTAGCACTCATTAACACAGCTCGGATGGGGAGGTGGACTTTGTTTTTAGAATAGCACTCAATTCACCAGCTCAGTCTGCTTTAAGATGCTGCTGGGGAAGGAGGTCAGGTGGCTGGGCCCGTTTTAGAGAGTGAGAAGCTGAAGCCCCGGCCCTCTGTGCACTTCCTACCACAGCAGAAAGTCCACGAGAAGCTGGTGACCAAACCCCAGCGTCTAGAGCTGAGCCCAGCACCTCGGCCAGGACCAACCACTTGACGTCCCGGGGCGAGGGGATGGCGCCCGCTCCGCTCGCGGCGTCATCGGCCAGGGTTTACCACCTCCTGCCAAGGAGGGCAGTTGCAGCTGCTGTGATCTGTTTGCTTCTTAGCTCTTCTGCCGAAAGTGCCAATTCCTGCCCATCCGCGGTCTTGTATTTTATGAACAGAGGGAAGAGATGACAGATGGACAGCAAATTCATCTCATGCACAGCAACCGTTTTTGGTCAAAGAACAGGCTTGTTTTGAAATTGGCAGCTCAGGAAGCAAAAAATACTGGAAATTACTGCCACCGTGCCCTTGGGAAAGCTCCCTATCTGCTAAGTCCGGGAGTGTCCCACAGTACAGGGTGGGTTAGTTATTGCTCTTAGCGATGACTGACCTTGAAAGCATAACACAGGGAAACGAAGCTCCTAATGGAAACATCTCTTCTTCCTGTGCCCTCCGACCTACGTACGGTCACTTACAAATCCCACAGAAGCTTTCTGCAACCTGAACCAGTCCACAAGTAATTTTGTGCAAATAAACTAACTCTGTGGAACCAACTGTTTCCCAGATGTGGTTTGCAATGACATGGACATCAGCCCAGGACTCGAGCCCGGTACAGAGTGCCAGGCATCCCGCCCTGCTCCGCGCTCCGGGGGCGCGTTCCCGTCTCGAGCGCGTTGGGAGCAGCGCACACGGCAAGTCCATCGCTTTCCCTCAAGCAGACACTTACTCCTCTAAATGCCACGCTCCTCAAACCATGGACAAATCTGGTCATAGTGACTGTATTGAGCAGATTTGCACCTCCCCTGGAAGCCGATGAGAGACGGACGCGCCGGTTTGGGGGAGCAGGCTCCAAAGCGTGCCCGGGCACCGCAGATCCTCAGCGCCCAGAGCCAGTTCTGCAATTCCCCTTGCAGCTCTGCGAGCGGGGCTGCACGTACTCACCGTCAGGGAATGAGAGGACAGGATGAATGCATGAGTCCAGCTGGGAGAGGCGCTCCAGCAGGGGGGCATCGTACTGGATTTCCAGCGTCGTGGAGCTCCGAGTGCCGCAGAGGGCACAGGAAGGGTTCACGTCGCAGCTACATCGCGCCAGGCTGTTACGATGGATCTACAGAGGGGAGAAAGAAATTCCCACGTATCAGAGGTCTCTCGGGGCTCTCCTCATACATTTCTGACAGCTCTTAAGAAAAATCCTGATTTATTCTTTTTTTAATATCGTGTAGAAAATATTGATTTAGTCTGGACTCAAAACAGGATGCTTTCCGCTCAGAAAGCACAATTGAAAACTAGTCCTCACCAGCACAAACTTGATTTAACATCTACAAAATTTGACTAAAAACATTAAACCAGACTGAAGACTTCGTTTTAAAACCCACAAGGCAGCACAATTCAGCTGCCAGAGAGGAGAAAAGCCCCTCTCTCGTCCAGACAAGTCTGACAGCTCTCATTGCACCAAGGCCTGACACTGACAGGGACATCTCTGCAGACTGAAGAAGAGTGTTTTTCAATCTTGTGTTTTTCTTTTAAACCAAGAGATGGACTTTCAATTCACAGATTTATAGACTTTTATGGACTTCCTTTTTTAATATATATATATGAAATGATGGTAGCGCAGATACATGACTCGGTGTAAAAACTGTACAGAGACAGTTAACCAATGACTGACTGTCAAAATGGAAGGATATATCAAATTGGATCCTCTAAAAGTCTGTTTTAAGCCTAGTATTATTCCCCTTAACAACTCTAAGATATTATCTCTTCCCTCATTCAAACCTGCAGATAACACTAGAACAGGGGAGGGTTGTGAGCACCTTGAAGGAAAAGGTTAGGATCCCAGTTATTGTTACAAATCATAAAAAAAATCTAAAATAACCCGAACCTAATTCAGTAAGGGCAAATGCAACAAGCTGTGTGTTGGCAGACACACTCTGGTGACTGGTGAAGGAAGGGGAAGAGCTAAATGAGCAGCAGCTCTGCAGAGAGGATCTGGTGGTTGCTCTGGATCAGAAAAGCAGCGTGAATCAGCAGTGTCACACTATTACTGAGAATTAATGCCCCAGAGGGCTTCATAAACAGGATGGCTCTGCAAGACTCATGAGGTAATTCTTCCATCCTGCTTGGCATTAGTAATGTGTAAGCTGGAGGGCTGCACCCACTTTTGGCTGCATGTTTCAAGAAATACATGGACTGAATGGGGGAGAATCCAGAGGAAAGCTACAAGTTCCAGGAAACTGGACCTCCATGGAAAAACCAGCAGACTTGTGTTTGCTTAGTGTAGGGATGGCTGGATTAGGAGTTATCATATGAACTTCTGAAATATGGGGAGAGCTACTGGAGGGAAGAATGGGGGTAATCAAGTTATACCAGGACTTGGACCACGGGGAAGGACTTCAAATAACAAGGAAGGGCAGCTTGTACTAGACAATTTGGCTTGCTTGGTTCTGCTCTCTGAAAAAAAGATTAGTAAGTGCCAAAAGGGCTCGTCTAAGGAGGCTCAGACGGACGGCCTGGCGCGGTGCAGGGACCAAGCAGTGTGTTTTGGGGCACAGCAGGGCTGCAGGTGACCACAGGACACTGCCAGGCCTGTTGCACAAGATCACACATCTTGTCCCAACCTAAATGACTGTGAATGAGACTGTATTCATGCTCGGTCAGCACTACACACAGTTATGGGCGATGGCTATTTGAGCAGGGAGCTCTCCAAGGTGTGCTATCGGGCACATCTTCCCTCCTTTGGAACCAGGAACCTCTGGAATCTCTTCTGAACCCTGATTTTTTAATGGATTTCACCAAGATAGGCAAGAGCTAAGAGACAATTAGCAGCCCCTTCCTCGAACAGGGCACAAGTCAGCACTTCCTATGGGATGTTTCATAATCTTCCAAATCACTGATGCTCTTGCAAGTGCTCACTGCAGAGCTCAACTGGAAATACCCAGATTAACTCCTTTCCGTTTGCAGTTCTGAACTAACTCAGCTGAGCAAGAATCCATCGTGCTGATCAAAACGTTGCTTTTGGGCCTTCTCTCTCAGGCTCTAGCACTGGCAGACTAACCCCTCCGCAGTCTTTCTTTGAGCAAGTAGCAGCAAGTTCCTGGGTCTGTGCTATTCTGCTGCTCAATATTGACTTTCACACTTGACTTTCCAAAGTTTTGCTCAATCTGCGCAGATTTTACTAAGATACTGAAGAAGATGCTCAGGGTGGTTGGTTTTAAAAAAGAAATTCCCCTGTCTCTAAACTCAGCATCTTCCCTCTGCGGTGATAACTGACTGAAGTCTTCTCAACAGATTAAAACCTCTCCTTTGCTTCTCCAACAGCCCATGAAACTTCACAGCCCTCCACTTCCCACTTTCTTTTTAATAAAAGAATTAGGAAAATTATGTTTTTAATTAAAAAAGCAAAAGCCTGAGCCATTCTCTTAATTGCCACAAACCTTCCCAAAGCAAGGAGACTACTACATGCAAAGAGCAAAAGCACTGCATTAATGTGTCAGCAAGGCTGCTGGGTGTGGAGCTTTTGATATATACAGCAAAGAAAACCCATGGAAGGAGGGGAAAAAAAACCAGCAGTACTAACCTTTTTGGAAAGGGGCATAATGCTGCTCGGTCGAACAAGCCGTCGCTTCTTGCAGCTCAGGACTGGGCGCGTGCGCGCCGCTACGCACGTTCCGTCCAAAGACGAGGAAGCCATGGTCAGTCGTTGCTTTTTATGCAAGAGCTCCTCGGCCTCCGGGCCGTCTCCCTGAGCGTGTTCTGCCAGGCCAGGCTGCAGACTGCCCAAGAACAGGAGGGGTTAAAGATGCTTTTATTCATTCAGCCGTCCTGCGTCAGGCAGCAACGCCAAACAGGTTCACAGTTCAGAAAAACTCTAAGCAGTGAGATTAAAAGCCCCAGAGTTTCACCAGGAAATGGTTTTATTAAGCCACCTCTAATGCTAGTTTTATTTTGGGGCACTTTCCACGTGCTCTCCCACCTCTCAAAACCCTGTTTGGCCTCACGCTTGCCCCGAAAGCTTTGATCCTAGAATTCAGCCTCCCCAAAATAACACACCATGTAACCTAGATGCCAAGTTGCTTCAGATTAGTACTCAGGCCCTGCAATGTCCATGCTAACCTTTCTGTTTCACAGAGGCTGAGGTTTCCTGTCCACAAGCACCAACCCTGCCCCACCGCGCTATCAACGCCCTTTGCCACCTCCTAAATCCCAGCACGGCTCCCCGTCCAGAGCCTTTTCATGTATATTTTACAAGTGTTTCGTATCTAAAAATGCAAAACATGAAAGCCCTGTGGTCTGAGGCTCTCTAGTTGAAAGGCTCTGGGCGTGCACGGGGCTCTGTCGCAGCCTGCAGCGTTTCAGCTGCAGCACTGGTGCTCGCTGCGCCGCGCGCCCTGCGCCGCTGCAGCAGCCCGGCCCGCGGAGCGGATGCAGCCGTCGCGGCAGCAGCACCAGCAGAACTTCAAAGCACTCCGGGTGCAGGGTCTGGTAGGGGTTTTGCTCTGAAACCCTGCAGAGCAGGAGAATTTTTCACTTGTTTTTATTTACCCACTTAAAAAAAAACTTTTCTTAACTAAAACCACCTGGAGGAATAAGTAAATTAAAGAAATTTATTCCCACTGAAATCAATGGGATCTAGGTTCCTCAGCATCCCTGGAGAGGTGGGTCAGTGGTTACAGATATTTTATAGAATGATTGCAAGCAGCCTTCTGGTACCTTTGAATCATACAATTTGCATGGCTATTAAAAATACCCGTAAAGAAACGGTCATTGCATGGTATCCTGCACAGCTTGTTCGTTGAAATATGATTTAGTTTAGTACCATTTTCAGAAAAACAATGCAGCACAAAACTTCATGCAAGCAGCCTCCTCCAAGACAGCTTCCAGCTTCTGCCACTGAAACAAGCAGTGGCATCCACTTTTTCAGAAAGAAATCACTTAAAACAGTTACCAACCCAGTTATTACCAACCAGCAAGTTATCTTTCCACGACACGCAAGACCCTTACGTGTTAATAACTCCATTGACGGGTCTCGGTGCTCCACAGGGCTTGGCGGGATGGGATTCAGGAATATTTGCAGCAGAAACACCCAGGTTCTCCAATGGCTGGGATCCAGAGATGCCCTAAAGAAGGATGAGAAAGATCATAACGAATAAGCTCCTGAACAGACACAACTTCCTCGTCCCCAATTTCAAGCTGAAGATTCTGCACCAGGGGGATGGTTTCCACGCACAGCTTCTGACCAAGGGTTCAGAAGTCAGTGGGGGAAGAGGGGACTGGGGGTGTGAGGACTTCAGAGCCAGCAGCTCTGGGAAGTGGATGGATCCACACAGCGTCTTGACACCTAATTTCAGTTCCCCTCAGGTAACCACCATGAAGCACAGAACACGCAGCTGCCAACAACAAAGCAAACCCAGCAGGGAGGCCTTGAAGGAGATTTTAGGATGTCTCAATAGTGCAGTGAAGTTCAAAAGCACCTGTAAGCCTCGCAGGCTGCCTCTCAAGTGTGATGCTCTGCGCTGCGCACAGGAGCTTCGCAGCCAGGAGGGAGGGAAGGGAGCAGAGACCAGACTTGCAAACCTGAATTTGCATTTGAAACAAGGCCTAAGTAACCTGTGCAAACATGGTCCAAATAGGGCTGTTTTCAAGGATTTTAATTCAGTATTCAGCTAAGTTGTGTGGTTTTTTTGCATCTAAACAAGCCAATCCTGTAAAACCAAAGCTGTTTGGTGGAAAGACCTTTCTCAGTGAAAAATAAATAAAAATCTAAGCTAAAGAAACACACCCCTCCTCCCCTCAGTCTGAAACACAGGCCAACCTTCTTGCTCCCTGGTGAGTGACACTGTGACAGTGTCTGTGTGGCTAAACCTCATTTCTTCGTTCAACCCTCTTTTTGCACCACTTCCTCCTGGCTCCTGCCAAGGCCTCTCCAGCGGGATCTCTCCCTGCTCGCAATGCGCCTCAAGCACTGCCCGAAAGGACAGAAACAAAAGTGTGACCGAGCTATTTGGGAGCCTGTCAGCCAGTCCCTTTTGTCCCCTACCCCAGATCCTGCAAACAGTTAGTCCCAGGGACTCAAATCAAGGAGCGAAAACCCAGGCCCTGGGACTAACTGTTTGCAGTGGCGTGAGGCAGGGCCGGGCTCGGGGACGAGCAGCTCATGACAACGCGGAGTCCTTCTGCCCGTTGCCCCTTTGAGGGCTCTGCCGGCTCCTCGGGGCCGCCACGGGGATGTTTCTCCTTGAGGAGGCAGCGCCGGCCCCGGCTGCGCGGGGGATTTGGGAGCCAGCGCTGCGGATGAGGGAGCCCCGAGGAGGCCGCGGCCGCGCGAGGGCTGCCCCTTTTCCCTCTGCTTTCCAGAGGCTTGGCAGGCTCGGCAGTCACGAGGGCTCCTTCGGAGGCACGCTCGGTTCAGGAGGGCGGGACGCATGACTCATAAGCTCTTTTGAAACAGGGTATTTATTTTCTTCTCCAGAAAGGGCCTTAGAGGAGGAACGGCTTCTCCAGGAACTTGGGCTTGATTATTCAAGCCAGGAACCCGGGACGACCTCCTCCTTCCTGAGGAGGAGCTGGAAAACGTCAATCCAAGGCTGGTTTTATCAGAGGCGTTCCAGGCTCATCCACTCGCTCTGGATAGGGATTGTTCCTAACGGGATGAGTGGGCAGGATGCCAAGCGCTCCACATTTTGGGTGTGTTTGGGTCTGAAAGTCCAGGTCTTTGTGATCTCTAGACTTTGAGAGGAGACAAAGTTCAGGTCAGGGCTCAGCCCCGGGAAGGCCTCCGGGATCCTACCCCATCTCCTGCAGAATTTCGCCCAGCACCAAACCCCCAAACGCAGAGGAAAGTCCGACCAGGAAGCGGCATCAACAGCTTCTCTCGTTGTTATTAAGAATTTCAAGCTCAGCAGCAGGTATCAAATAATGAACAGGTAGCAACAGCTGGGCTATTATTTCTTCAGGGCTTCACATACTCCCATCGTCAGGCAGAAAAAAAAAAAAAAAATTATTCACCCCCTGAGCCTGCAGTTCTGAACCGAGTGCTGACAACAGACATTTCTAGGCCTTCTTCATAAAGCCCTTCCCTGATGCTGTAATTAATTCCTCCTAGGGATTACCAAGCACACTCCGCAGGTCGAGCCAATGCCTTCGGACACGTATTGCGGATTACAACTCTCCGCAGCGCTCCGGCCGGGGGAGATGCCTAGGAGCGGACGAGATCCAAGCAGCCGAGAGCCGGGAATGAGCCGTGATGGATTCGCTCCCGTTATCCTACATCACAGCACCTCCCTCCTCTCCTGTTTCGCTCCGAGGAGAGAAAAAGTCAAACTCAAGGCACAGAACAGGCCCACGGTGGAGACCCTTCCAGCAAGATCTGATTGCGACAACCATGGTCTCTGGACTCGACCCGGCTCCGAGTGGATCAGACCTCTGATGCGACACCCCGACACGCCTGAGCAAGGTGGATTTAGGGCAAACGCTCCCGTGGGAGCCAAGGCAGCCCCAGGCAGCGCTTCCCGGGCTGACACCTCCCGCCCAGGGCTACGCACTCGCGCTACCGGCTGCCACGCGCGGAAAGGGAATTAAAAGAAAGAAATCCACATCAGGAGCAATTACTCTCCGAAGCAGCTAGAGCAGCTGCAGGAGTATTGATACAGAAGGGGCCAGGTAGCAGCATGGCGCGGACTGCACGCTGGAAATGTTCTGCTTCATCGCAGGCATTTATGGAGAATGTCTCACAGGTGTAGGGCCAAAGTCAAAAGGACACGGTCCTTCCTCCTGCAGACCCTGAAACTAGCCTTGTGTCGGATAAACATCCCGATTTCAACAAATACGTAAGAAACAAGATTTTCTCCCTATCACGAGCAAACGTGATTATTTATCTCTGCTATCAGTCTGCTATTTGCAGATTAGCTCTCAGCAACAGCCAGCTCTTCACTGAAGGAGCTTACGGTCTCTGAAGAGGATCAGAGGATGCTGCCACGGTGGTTTTTCAGTGTCTGAGCACTTCTGGGGTTAAAACGCGACGCGAGGCTGGCGTTCCTCCGAGCCAGACGCTGCGCAATGCCTGCACTTCCACGGCGATCTGCAAGGGCTGCCGGCATCCCCGCTGCTCCCGGCCTCCCGCCGATCTTCCAGCGCGGCTCCGGTTTGATCCCAAGCGCAATCGACTCTTGCAGTCGGCAGAGCAACCCGCTCATTGCACTGAGTTACAGAGCCGAGTTTGGGGGCTGAGCTAATCTGCTAATTAAAGACTTCAACTCCCGACGTCCAAACGCACATCCGAAAGCCCACGTCAAACGAGGAGACATTTCACTGCAGTTGCCTCTATCGGTGCCTGCAGTCCAGCAGTACTAATAATTTCACAGTATTTCCCATTATTGCTGAGCAGCAGAACTCTGACAGAGCTTACCCACAACAGAAGAAAACGAAGTATATGGTATCTCTACCTTTTTATTACACATATATTTTTTAACTACAGCAACTACGTTGAATTTTGGCCCATGATGCTGGTACTGCTTGCAACAAAACTCCCCTTCTCTCCAAGTGCTGCAGCAGGATGAGGCAGCAGGCGCCCTGCACGGCGAGGACCACCCTTCTCCTCCTGCTGCAACCTCAGAATCCTCCATTTTCACACGTAGATGCGTCCCACAGGATGAAAAGTAATCACAGCCAGACGGAACAGCGCGATCAAGCCATTACTCCGTGCCCTACATTTCTGCATTAAATAATAAGTACCTGGCACTCCATATAGTTTCCAGTGTATCTCACCGAGATCATTAGTTGCCTTTCTAAGGCGTAAAACTCAGGCAGATATTAATAGCCACGTCTTTAGAAGCCTTTGCTAATTGTGCAGTTTGAGGAGATTTTGCTAGAGGGGAAAGAATTAGTTAGGATTTTTACGCTTTGTAAAATGCAATGAGTATCACAAAGGCACCCCAAGGAACCCTGGTCTAAAAGGTGCTTAAATCGTTCATAACCCTTTTCCCAAGCAACCCGGGAGGAGGCAACCGAGGCAGCCCGATCGCCCTGCAATCCCCACGGAGCAAGGAGCCTCCGCAGGAGGAAACACATTCCAGGTGTTTCTCTCCACCTTCCCGACCACAGAGGGCACTCGGACCCAGGTATGACACAAATGTGACACATCTGGGCAGAGTCACCTCTGCTGCTGGCACTTACCAGCCGCTCAGCCCCAGGCTCCAGCTTAACTTCAGCACTAAGAGGACGGGACGCGTCATCTACCGCAGGATCGGGGGGCGATGCTTCACCGAGGACTATGAGCCCCTGAAAAAGAGGGAAGAGGGATTAACCGGGGACTCCTTGGGCTCACCAGGGGAGCTGCGCGCCCGGCGCTTGCCAGCAATGCAAAGCGCCGCGCGGCAGAGCTCGCGCTCCCTCCCGTGCACACGTGATGCCAGGCCGAATCCCTGCCGCCCGGGTTTTTCTGACTCCGAGGCTGAACTTCCAAGGGGAAGGCCAGGCTGGAGCCAAATCCCAAGCGGCAGCCCTGCTGCACCACGGCTGCCTATTCCCTGCCCACCCCTTTCCCCACTTCCCAAGCGCTCTCTGCACGGGACGTGCGGCTCATCCCGATGCCACGCAGAGCAGGAATCGGCTGGGTTGGTAACACGAAGCGCGACGCGCCGCCGCGGCCAGGCCAACCGCGTGGAGCCAGCGCCAAAACTGTGCGGCCAAACTCGGAGCTCGGAGCGGCGTTTTCAAACAAATTATATTCACAAAACTCCCAAAGGGCAGAAAACACCTTCCGTAAGTGCTATAAACCCAGCGGGACGAAGCACGGGGCAAAGCGCCGCTTTGTGACCCTTCACACGTGTCGTCCTGTTCGTGCCGCAGCCACGGGTGAAGCTCAGCGAGAGGCAGCACCCGCCTTCGCGCGGACGTCAAGGGCTCGGGCCACTGACGTGTCTTGTGTGGCGGATCTTTCTACAGCAGATAGTGGCTGTCGAGAAACACCCCGGCAGCCCATTCTTCAGGGCTGCTTTATTTAGGAGCAGTCAAACAGCAGTTTCTAGGAAATAGCTAGCAAGCAAGCAGCAACTAGGAAATAGCTAGCTTCTAAAATAAGTACAGTGACGAGTTTCTGCAGTTTCCTGAGAGCCCAGAAAGACATTCAGTAGATGAGAAGGGCTGAGAGCGCAAGCAAATACTGCTGTTTTTCCTGCACTCTTGAAAATCCGTGTCCAGAAGCCACCACGTTCTGCTCCTGCTTCTGGAGACCAGGCTTCAGCAGTGGAGAGCTTGGTCCTCGCTGGGTGCTGAGTACAGGGGACAACTGGCACAAAACTGGCAAATGGGGAAAAGCGGCCGGAAGGCTGGAGGATGAAGGGAGCTGGCTCTGCGCCTCAGGGAAGAGCCGGAATTGCTTCCAAACACCGTGAGGATTTGTTTAGAAGTTCGTCCCTTCACCAACACGCGGTGCTGGAGAGCTCGTCCCGCAGAGCGGCGGCTCCTCCCCGCGCCGGCGGCAGCGATTCCTGCGCCCAACGCCCGGCACATCCGAGCGCAGATTGGAAGAGGAGCCGCTCGTGTGACGCCTGCTGCAAACGCCCCCAGCACGAGGCTCCTCCCAGCTCTTTTTCCACTCTTCCCATCCTGAGTTTTTTTTTGTTTTTTAACTCCCAGTGGTTCTCCATGCGGTCGCTAACACAGAGGGATGTGACTGCAAGAAGAGGGAAGGCCCCTTCTCGCTCCAGGCACAAGCTGGACTCGGGTCTCCAGAAGTGATGTGCAAACAAACAGCTTCAGCTCCAAGCAGCTCCAGCCTCTACACGAAAACTCCTCCTCGAGCCTCCAGTCTTCGTTTCCCCCCTTATTTCAGCTGTGCAAGAAGGAAAGTCATAAGGAGAGAGGACAGCTCTGCTCACTGCCCTGCCACCCACGGTCAGGGAGGCGCAAGGACGCTGCGTAGTGGGGGGTGCCAGCATCAGGCCACCTCATCTCAAAGAAAGTCCCAAGAAAGGACATTTGTGAGAAGAAACAAAAGCCCCATGTTGCCATCACGGACATCCAGTCCCCAGGGTAAGCGGACACGCTCTTCTAACCAACGTGGAGCAGGAAGCACAACAGCTCACGGGTGTAAATGTCAGCAAACTCCACAAGCAACACTCAACACACGCTCCCTTAATTGTTGTTTTCCTTCACATCTTAGCAGGTTCCAACCAAGCTGATCCAAACGTGCTTGGAAACACAATTCCAGCTCGGACACTGAGCACCAGAGCGTACCTTCAAAACAGATCCTTGTTTGCAATCCCCTTGGCCCGACATCATTTTATCTTGACAAGCAACATGTCTTACCTGCAAGGGTACACTGCCATGTAAATCTCACCATGTAAATGTAATTTAAAAAATTAAGCAGCAGCTTAAACTCCTCCAGCAGTCACACTTTAACCTCGTTATATTTTGTCCTTGCTACAAGTAATCCAGAGTCAATGCTGTTTGGAAAAAAACCACGGTGTCTCCAGCTTCTCCAGCTGTTGCCCTTGCACAGTTCAAAGTCAAGCCCATTCCAAAAAGACTCAGGTCACTGAAATCTCTCTTCATCTTTTCTATCTGCCCCTAGTTGCTTTTTTACCTTTCTCCGAGGTCTTCATTGATGAAAACAGAAGATATTTTACCCGGCATCCTTGAGCTCAATGACATCGACACAACAGCTGGGCGCAAGTGGGGGTCTCCATGAAGCACCATCAGAATGAGGAGCTATTTGACATCCACCCTGAACAGCTGAACTCTTCAGCTACTGCTGTAAAACTGCATCTTCAATTTGGGTATTCTCGTTGAGGAGTTCTTGTTTGAAAACTTGCCGAGGAGCTCGTGTTTGAGCTGGTCCAAAGAGGTGAACATCCTGTTTGCTGAAACCTCAGAGAGCTTCTCAACTTTGACACAACACAGCGATGTTTTCCTTTCAGATCTAGCGACTATAGCCTTAGATAAAAACATCTGGGATGCTTGCAGACATTATCAGGCCATTTCATACATCTGCCAAGCTGTCATATCCACCGGTGAAAGCACTAAAGCATTAGATGGGGGATTTATTTTTTCTCATTACTTTTTAACATCTAAATGCCTGGAGCAATTTTGTGCTTCATTGAAGAACAGAGGCAGGAGGAAATAAACGGTATTTGAAAACTAACACTATGACACAGTGCTCAGGTTTTAAGATTTTTCCTTTATAATCATGGATGGTCCTTCCCCTATCGAGCATCAGAACAGCTCATACATTAAGAGAAAACTGATGCTTGAAAGCTTCAAATACTTCTCCATCATTCTTCATTCACGACAAAAATATCTCAGCATTTGCGGATCTGTCACCACTCGGGGGCACATCTGCTTTTCAGGATCTGAAGAAATCACGTCCGCCGTTATCCAGAGAGGGAAGAAATTCATAGAAATCTTGCCACATCAATTCTCTTCTGAAGAGAAAGTGCATGATTTCCCATCACCTCGGTCCATCTGGTGACCTAAACCCCATCTCCACCTTCCAGTGAAGGTTTCGTACTGATACCTGCCAGTTCTTAAACCACAACAAGCAGTTTGCAGCAGGGGTAACAACTTTGCATTTTATACTTAGGAACCACCTTGCAAGATCTGCTTTCCTAGGACAAAAGAGAGAAGAACCTTTCTGAAAGTGGTTCACTAATTTGACATACAGACCAATTTTGAGAAACCTTTTCCTCTAATCTCAATAATGTATTCCACTCAGTAAGCCGTGTTCTTCCACCTAGTCATTTATAGCAGTTAGTCACTCAATTAGCCTGTTTTTCTACATAGCTGCATAAAAGATGAGAGTTTTCCTCCCCTGCCTGTGCTCTTCTACCTGCCTGGAAGTCTCTCCTCATCATTCCCCCTGTACAGCCTGAGAAAAGCGTTTGCCGGATTCTGAATTCCCGAAGATCTATAAAATGATGCAATATCACAACTTCTTGCTTAAAACTCCAGACATTCCTCCCTCCCAGGCCTCACATTCAGCTTCACATGCCTGAGCAGAGAAGTCCTGATAAGAGTTCCTTCCTCATCCCTTCTCTGCTCTCCTCCATTCTCACGCTATCCAAGAGGAAGTTTGGAAAAAACCTTCCACTGCGGAAGGTCAGCACCTAGAAACAGATTTTATTATGATACCAACTCAGTTTTGAGCCTGTGATGAGTGATCGTATCTCAAGCTGACTTCCTCCACGGTCCCCTCCCTTTCCTAGCAAGTCTCTTGTTGTGCCGTTCCTTATCCCCGTATCTTCAGCTACTCCCCGAAAGAAAGAACAGGAAGGAAAACAAAATCAAATAAAAAAGGGAAAGACCAGAATGGGGGGAGCAGCAACAAGCATGCAAAAGCAACAGCTCCCTTCAATACTCAAACACTGGCTGTAAAGTGCTGCTCTCTTTGGGTTAACTTACTGAACCAGGGAAAAAAAGCTACGCTCAGTGGATACCAAACAATGTAAAAACGTATATATATATTTTATATACGTTATGTAAGTAACGGGTAGCCCCAGCTGTGCAGTGGGTTTTATGAGAGGCAGGACAGCAGCATCACGCGCGCTCCACCCTGCAGCAGGAAGGAGCCCCCGGGAGGCCGGCCAAGCCGAGCCCGGACGGATGCGCTTCTGCTCCTCACCTTATTGGCTCTGATCTGCTTGTAAATATCCGTTTGCTGCCGGATTCGGTATTCCAGGTCTGAGACGTGGGCTTGGAGCCAATTCCAGCGGCTGACGATGGCTGCACGGTCTGCTGCCCATCTCCACTCTGCCCTTCGTCTCCTGGAGAGATAAAAAGGGGGAAAGGGGTTACTTGGGGAACAATTTTCATTACACAGTCCATGAACAGCCTAGTAGAGCTGTCCAGTGCATCAAAGTTACCTCTAGCTACCACTAACTGTGATGTGCTAATCCAAAATGAGCTGCAAAAGCCCTGTTTTCACACAGCATCATTAAAACAGCTTTGGGTACCTAGTGACTGGAGCCCGGCTCACACAGGTGTTCAGGTTTCACGTCAAGCTCCAGTCCTATCTGGCCACATCTGCCAGACCCACTTGAAGGGAAAACCCATCCACTCACCCGCCCTCGATCTCCCCTCTTTAAAAGCCCCTCCGGCCTCCGGCGAGTTTCCCAGCGCGTCCGGCCCTCCGGTTTGGACAGAAACCTCTCCCGGAGATGAGCCCCGGGGCTGAGCGCGGCCCCGCGCGAGCGGCTCTCTGCAACGAGCTGCTGCAAGGCGCCAACTCGGTCTCTGCTGCTGCGGCTGCAGCCCGGCAGCCGCGGAGGCCAGGAAGGAACCGGGTTAGCAGCGAGCTGCCCCGGCGCTCGGCAGGGCTCAGAGCTGCGCGCGGGTGCGTGGGGAAGCCGCGCGCTTTGCGAGCGCCGACCCATTTCCCACCTTCGGCATCACTGCTGCAAACACAAAATACTCTGCTGCAGACGCATAAATACACGCTGGCTGGTGTGTGTGCTCTGGGTTTTATGGTCAGCTGTTGGAAAAAAGCCCTTCCTCTTGCCGTACCCCAGACAAAAGCAAGCAAACGAGCAGAAAGCAAGGGAAAAGAGCCCAGCATAACACAGGAAGGCAACACGGGCAGGAATCCAAGGCTCTGCTCGGCCACTCTGGAGTGTCCCAGGACACCGGGGCCTTGGCCGCATCTAGATAATTGGGAACACAAAATTCATCACAAAATACTCCCCCTTGCCCCAAGCCTCCCTCCTCGGGAGCATTTCCCTGCCTGCTGTCAACCCCCCAGTGCTCGGGCCCTGCTCAGTGAATCACACGCCGTGGCTGTGACACGCCGGTCACGAGCTGTCCCCAGGTGAAGACACCCTCAGGGGCAGCAGGAGCCACGTTCCTCGAAGGAGCGACCCAGCGTCACCGCGAGCGGGCGCCCGCCTGAAAAGCACCGCGGTTGTTCATTGTCCTCTCGGTGGTGGCCAGTGACAGGACAAGGGGTAACGGGTGCAAGTCGAAGCACAGGCAGTTCCAACTCCATATGAGGAAGAGCTTCTTTGCTGTGAGGGTGCCAGAGCCCTGGCACAGGCTGCCCAGAGGCTGTGGAGGCTCCTGCTCTGGAGATCTCCAACCTGCCTGGGTGCCACCCTGTGCCCCGTGCTCTGGGTGTCCCTGCTGGAGCAGGGCTTGGACTGGATGATCCCTAGAGGTCCCTGCCGACCTCAGCCATTCTGGGACTCTGTTACAAGTCTCCAACTCATGCAGAAGCCCTGGAAAGAAGGAGCTGGTTCCATGGAACTGCAGGAATAATGGAAGAGCCGACCCCGCACAGCCTTCCTTGAGCCTGACCCGTGCCGGCCGTTTCAGTGCTTCAGTTCAGACTTCTAGAGAAACACAGAATCGCAGGAACTGCCTCTATTCCTTCCAGGCCCTCCCAAGCCCATCTTCCAGTCACCCTGGTGAGCTCAAGCTCTTCTGAAATCCTTCCCCACAGGACACATCTGCTCCTTGCATCGACGCTGACCTTACGCTCAGTGACGAATTTAGTGCTGGTGCCAGACGGGTGCCAGCACGAAACTGGCTCTTCATCCCCGCGGGCCACACGGAGGCACCGAGCCAGAGGGCTGCACAGAGGGGCAAAGGCTTCCCAGGCGGCTCGGGTCCGACTGGGCTACCTGAGGGCCAGGGTGGCCACAGGGTGAACAACACAGGGTGGCAACGGCTGTCAGGGCCACCCCGCATCGCCAGACCCGGCCGCTCCAGCCCCGCTCCCCGACAGCCTCTGCTCTGTTCCAAGAAGGACAACGCGCTCCGGGCCTTAAGGCAGAGGGGACTTCCTCACGGCGAGGAAATTCCAGCCTCCGAAGCGGCACAAAATCCCCTCCGTGGTGCCGGGAAGAGCCGGGTTCGGGAGCCCGTCTCCTTGCAGCGAGGTTTCCCCGAGTGTCGCTGCTGCTCCGACTCGATCACCCACGAACCTGACAGCGTTTTCACGTGCAGTTTCCCACAAGACTTTCTAAAGCACATTACTCATTTTTCCAATACTTCTATTTCAGAAGCAAAGCAGAACTTTACTGGAGAAACTTTTTTTTTTTTTCTTCTTTTTTCTTGTAGCTTAAACTCACACAGTCCAGGCCTCTGCAATGGCCATCTTTGCTTTCACGAACAACATTCTCAGCATCCATGGATAAAAGGGACCGTTCGGCCCTTCCGAGTTTTCGGGTTCCGATAAGCCCGATCCCAGCGCGGCTGAGCTCCCTTCGCAGACTTGATGTTACCTTTCATCTTACTGAGCAAGGGGTTTTAGATCCACAAAGAAATCATTCTGAGGCTGAAGTTTTTGCAAAAAGAAACCGAAAGGGCCAAGCTCCTGGTCAGCAGCTCGGCTCTGCCTGCCCGCGGCGGCGGGATCGTTTTTAATGGGATAGAAAGAGATGGAAATGGCTGTCGAGAGCCTCCAAGTTCAGCCAGTGCCCCCCAGGCCTGCGGGCCCGGCGTCGTCCTGCTCCTTCAGTAAATAAGTCCCTTTCTTTTAGTCCAATTACAAAACAGAAACCCATGCGAGGCGGGTGGATAAGGAGTCCGTGTCCGACGGGATTCCTAAGCGGCGCGGAGCACAATCAGCCTCAGTCGTTTTCCCTCGAGGCCAGGACACCTCGAGGCCAGGAGCCCGCGGAGGCCAAGCAGAAGGAAAGGTAGGAAAGGGCCGGGGCGACGGGCTCGTCCCTGTGGCCACCCCGAGCACCGGGGCGGAGGGGACACGCTCAGTGGTGACACTCGGCCGCGCTCTCCGAACGGCAGCGAGCGGCGCGGGGGCCTCCGTATTTAGACGCGGGGCTTTTCCCGCGCTGGCGCGATGACCCCTCGGCGCCACGCGGCTGCCCCGTGTGACAGCCCGGCCTTTAATCTCTCTGCAAACAGTCGGCAGAGCCACTGTTTCTTCTGCCTAGAAAGCAGCGGCCGCCCGCGAGGGCACCCAAAACGCCAGCGAGGTGACTGGTTAGCGGAGGGGACGAGGCCCTTCCTCTCCTTCGAGGCACGGGGGACCTGGAAGGGATGATTAACAAGAGTTTAATGCACCTGCCCGCAGGGGGTTGAGATTAAGCAGGACAGGGAGCTGGAGGAGCGGGCCAGATGGCAGGGCAAGACGGACGCCAGAACGGCTAGTGCTTAGGAAGGCAAACACAGCAACTGAGGGGAATGTGGCACGGGTGCAACTAATAACAACAATAATAACGATCTTCATCACCATCATCGCCGTCGCCATCATCATCCTCTCCCTGGGTTGGTCCGTGGCCCTGCGGAGCCCCCGCACGCAGCTGGCCTGGCCCTTGGGACGACGTCCTGGGGCACCCGCGGCTTATGGCAAACGGGGCCGGTGCGCCGAGCCCACGACCGGGGAAAGCGAGGGGACACCGAGGCGACCCCAGCGAGCACGGGGACACTTGGGACGGCACCGCCGGGCCCGGCTCCTCTGTTTCGGCAGCCCCGCGCCTGGAAAGCCGTCATTCCTAAGCATCCCGACTCCCAAGATGGCAGCACTGGAGCCCAATCCCTATTTCTCATCCCACTCAAATTGCCTTCCTTTTCCCAGCTCCGTGCCAAGCTCCGCATCCCGCTCCACTGCCCAAACGCTCCACATTGCCATTCCCGAGCGCAGAGTCTGCGGGTCACTGTCCTTAACCAGGGGCCACATCTTGGTGCCAGCTTAAACTACCGCACGCAAAAAAAGGGTGTTCAAGCCCAACCACCGGAGCTGAGGTGCCATCTCCAGCTGGGATCTTCGGGAGGGACAAACAAGGTCTGCAAACGCCGCAGACGGCGACGCTTTGGGACACGAAGCAGATCACCCGCGTTCGCTCCGCTCGTCCCCCTCGCGTCGCCCAGCCCGGGGGCTGCGTCGCCTTCACGCCATCCTCACGGCTCATGTCCAAGCCGGTGCCAGGTCTACTCCCACCAGCGAGATGCCAACCGAAGCCTTATGGTTAAATCAATTCCTGTTCATCCACTGAAAAAAATAAGCATTAAAATCAGGTTCCCCTTTCCCTCGCTCCCTCCTTGCTCACGTTTTGATGGTCTCCAATGCCAGCACGGACAGTTTCTGGGTGCTCCGTGCTCCGGACACCACTGATGCTTATGCGCTTGGCAAACACGAGACAAGTCCAAGCAGAACACCTGCACGAGCACTGCGGTTCTGCTAACAGCAGAAGGAGCCTCTGAGCATCGTCTTCCAAGCACGGCGCTAATGCAACTTTTGCGATTGCGTTTTTGCCGTGCCTTACTAAGGGAGAGATTCCCCCCGATTCAGGGCTGTTTTCCAGTTTGCTCCTGTGCCTACATACTCTTCAAGTTCACTCCCCCAAAACAGACCATCAAAATTTTATTCCTTTTTAGACCAGGATGAGGAACTAGTGCCGAACTGGATTGAGGGGCGGAACAAGAGTTAACGCTGTCAAATCCCCTTGCATGACAACCCCAAGCGAGGCAGCGAGGACCCCCCGAGCGCTCGGGAACAGCCTCATTAGCTGATCACAACATTTCTGCCTGCGAAGGAGCCAGAGTGAACAATTTGTTCAGCTGAACACCCGCCCCCAGCCCACGGACCGACAGCGGCTGCTCAAGGCTCTTCTATTGCCAGTGTGTGCTCAGCAATCGTCTAAATCTAGCTCAGACCTCAACCCCACTCATTCATCCCAGCTTTCAGGGGAAAAAAAGGCAAAAAAAATGAAGGCCTCTGGAGGCTGCAAGTGCAGACTTATTTCTACTGGTCCTTGCTGGAAAACCCCCACTGCTCAGAGGAAATTGGTGCACGAATCCGACGGCA